GGAGAGTTGCTGATCCTCAAAGTATATGCAGACACACTAACTAACCAGGACCACTTGAAAACATAGCAATTGTACATGTATGGGATTTAGCAAATTGAGGTCCCTTTTCTATGGTCTATACTCTWAAGCTACAGACACAAGGTGCAACATTGTGTGCAATATTACATGCAATTAATGTTGCGAGTCATGACACACGATGCAATGTTGCTGAAGTAGARAACTATCCTACTTCAGCAGCATTACAATGTTGTGCRCAATGTTGCACTGTGTGTCCATGCCTTTATGGAACATGGAATGGCATCAACATATGATCCAAACTCAAGTGAAACCACAAGCACAGCTAGTGCACATTGCAATAATCACTGGGGGAAGGAGGGGAGTGGAGGGGGTGACTCCAGATTTGTTGGGGTTCAACCTGAACTAATGGCAACAAATAATCTCCCCCCCCTCCCCCCCCCAAAAAAAGACATGCGCATTACAAATAACCTGCCAGTATCAATGGGAACATCTCTTTCTGCATAAATGAATATTAAATATTTATTTCTTTACCCATGAGCTACAATCAKTATTAAAAATATATATATTCTTATATGTATGCAAGTAAATTGATTTTCATGTACAGTAGGCTGTGCAAATAATAATTTTCCGTTTTATTTACATTCAGGGATGTTGCTCTGAAACAGAAGCATTAGCAGCAGGTGGCCAACAAGGAATAGTTTCTGATGAACAAATGGAGGCAGAAATTCTTAAACAGATTCCTAAGCTATTGCTTAAAATTGGTATAGTATAGTCTGCTTTTCCATTTCCTTCTCTACAGCTGTATATCAGATTTCTCATTAGAAAATTCAGGTTCTGATGATGAATCTCGCTGCTGTTGGCTCTTGTTGGTTCTTTTCTGTGCTTCAAGGCTTTTTCTCTGGGTTCTCTGGTTTTCCTCCCTTCACTAAAATCAAATAGTTGGTGGTGAGATAGAGGTGGTGGTTGGGAGGGGATTTTTGGGGCTCAGTTGGCCTGGCCTAATAATTATTGTTTAAGGTAGTTTTACTGTAAATTTCCCTATGACATTTTGTTCATTCAATTACTCTCAATTTTTATTTCGTTCTGCCATCACTGAATAAACTTAYAAATATTTCCTGTTTGATAATGGGACAAGGGGCCACTGGTCAACTAAAAAAAAAGACAATTTATTTATTTAGTTAGAGCCACTTGCTCCTTATGGTTAGTGAAAACTTGGTTTTATCTTGCAGGTACTGTTACCCACGAGACATGCCCTTCCCCAAGTAAAGCCCCTGATAACTTAAAATCCAAGCTGGTAGGTATTCCTTGGATGCTTATGATGTCAGYTACACCAAGCCTTTATAATAATTAAGACTAAATGTTTTGGCCATGTAAGTCCTTGGTCATCAATTATTACCTGGGGATGAGAAGGTTTTTGTTGCAACATTAATAAAAATTAAATGGTCCCCCCATAAAAAAGGGACTATAGATTTTGTGATTCCCCTCACAATTAATACATTTTAGACTAAATTAAACATTTTAGAGGATCAGAGGATTAAAATCTTTAACTCAATYAAACATCTCCACAAGAAATTGGTTGTTTATTTATTTATACTTTTGATTGACAGCCATCAAAATGCTAGTCACGAGAGGAGACACCAAGCTTCACAGGTCACACTTCATCCATAATGGTTGAAATTTTCATGTTTTTTTTTCTTGCAGCACTGTATACGTGAACTTGTGAACACAGTTGCCACCCATAATGACATCCCTCTCAACAAAGAGAACCTTGATAATTTTGTGTTATCTGTCCTCTACGAGCCCTGCTCACCTATTTGTGTTTCTTCTGCCAAAACTGCTGTGCAGTTACTCTTTGGAAGAGCCAATCTAGTAAGTCATATTTTACTTGAATGTAATAGAGGCTTTGAACCATCACACGGCAGCCATGACAGGAGGTACAACAATAGAGTCTTGGAATTGTACGGTATTGTTTGAATTTGGCTCGTTAAAAGTTTATCCTACCCCAGAGCCCTCATTAAGAAAAGTAACCTTATTTTTCATGTTTATCATGGTATACAGTTGAAAAGCTTTTGAAAAAATTATCTTTAAGGTAACCATAAAACCGTGTAAAGACAGCAACGCTCGGCTGGCCCAAGTGGCTGTCAAAAGTACATCTGTCCATGTGGAAGTCCTGTCAACATGGTAACTATCAGCCAAAGATTATGGATAGGGTGGGATGGGAGGACTTTTAACCCCTTACCTTGAGTGTACCACTTAATAGCCAGTGGCCAGCAAAATTGTTTTATAATTGGGGGAGGGGGAGGGGAGGAAAGGAAGCTAAGAAGTACTATTTGATGTGGGGTGCCTAATTCTCTCGGAATTCAATCTTAGACAAAAGAATTTCAATCTTGTAAACCCTGTTTGTGGGGATGTCTTCATATTTCTGGTGACTTGCTTTCTTCTTAGATCAAGTCTTAATTCGTTCTTATAAATCAAAGGTGATTGGTTTGGTTTTTTTAAATCATTGTGAATATTTTGTCCTGACCAGGTCAATCTTGGCAAACCAAGCCCTATTCTCCTGTATATCTCGGGATTTAGATTTGAACACACCTCTGGGTATAGTGGAAGCAACTTATGTGGTGAAGTTCAGCCTGATGGACTTCCTGGAAGATAAGTGAGTAGAAACCCAGATACAAGTAGTAAGAGCAGTTCTCATTTTGTCCACATATCATTTCTTGTTTTCTTTTCCTGGTTTCCAAGTTAATGATGATGATGATTGCTATAATTTTGTTGTTGATGATGATGATAGTGATAGTGATGTTGATGATGGTGGTGATAATGATGATGGTGGTGATGATGATGGTGATAGTGATGATGGTGATGATGATGGTGATGATAATGGTGATGGTGGTGGTGGTGATGGTGATTATGATGATGGTGATAGTGGTAATGGTGATGATGATGATGATGGTGTTGGTGAAGATGGTGATGGTGGTGATGATGATGATGGTGATGATGTTGTTGGTGATGATGGTGTTGGTGTTGATGGTGATTTTGATGGTGATGATGGTGATGATGCTGATATTGTGATGATGATAATATGAACGATAATAATAATGAGAGTGAAAAAGACGTTAGTGAGGATAGTGATAATCTTGATGATGTATTCGAAGATTATAAGCAGAACAGCATTTGCATGATAAAGACACACATCAGCAGCAGCACTGACTCAAACCTCAAATGGTTAACTTTCTTTTACAGGGAGCGCCCGTTACCAACCATCTACATGAAGCGTTACAACAGCCCTCACTCACCCCAAACCCAACCCAAACAAGAATCATCTCCTTCTCACAGGCAGAACAGGTTCCGCAAGTCCCTGACCAAGGCCACGTCAAAGATCTTTTCTCGCAAGTCAGCTCAGGGTGCCAAAGCGTCGGGTAATTCTGCCAATCCTCCTGGATCTCCGAGTTCGAACTCTGTACCGAGTACTGGTACAGYATCACCAGGAAATGAAGGTGAGGTTTAAGTTTATGCATTCGGGATTTCATAACTAGGCAAGATGACCTTCATATTAATACCAAAGTCAGAGTCGTTAATACAATCGTTGCCAAACGTTTTTGCACGATAAAGTTTTTTTCATATAAATATGCTGCATTGAATCATGGGAATACGACCCTATCATAGAATATAGACCCCTTAAAACACGTCTGAATGCAGCTCAATTTGGAGGACATAACAATAGGTTTTCAATTTTCAGGAGATTCAAATTCTTTTGTTTTGTCCTCCAAATTGAGCTGATTTGACTTCACATGCGAGGGGCCTGTTGTAAATTTACGATTACGCTAATGAACATTCCGCGAGAGACTGGAAATGCTACCCAAATGACACCTAGCAAGTTCACTGTTTGAAACTAGAAGTTTGGCTTCTTAGCAGAAACAAGTCCTCCCGGCTTGTGTTGGCTTGTGTTGCCCTACTATAGAAGAAACCTTATCGGGTGAAAAGGAGGGTTGGCTGTAAAGCAGACTACAAGTTTTTCGGGCTCCACGGTAAATCAATCAATCAATCAATCAATAACTTTATTTATCCTAAAAAATGGATCAGCTGGAGGACTGGAGAGACAACCAGGTGGTATAAACCCATGTGTAGCAATATATAGAGCGTTTTCACTCACGTGAGAAGGCAGTCATAAACAATAGAAACTTTCTGCACAGTATTAGCATAAAAATAGAGTTCATCTCCCGGAGGATAGAAAATGTATTGTTTTGGTACACCATAATGGCCGCTGTGACGTCACGTGCAAATGCTCTATAATAAATAGATTCCTATAACCCAGCGACAGCTAAYTGAAGTTTTTGATTGTTTCAGGATTTCGTATGTCATTCATCACCTCCAGCACTGACACTAGTAATGAACAGGATACTGATATCGAAGAACCTGCACCCCTACCCCCACCACGCCCTAAACACTGGGCCCGTAAGGTACAGGCACAGAACATGGGTCCAGGTGCTTTGATCAAACCTGATGGTGAACTGACTCAGAGTCATAAGAAAAGTGATGATTGGTACCAAACAGATCCCAAGTTCCCTTTGCCAAAGTTCAAGCCGACACTGTCAGGTGAGAAACGAGGTGATTTCGAGTTGACCCGTGGAATATATGGTTTGTCGGAATCTTATTTTCGGGCTAAAATCTTTTTTCTCTTTTCAATATAAAATGTTTTATAATTTTGATGACAATAAAAATAGTAATACTGCTGATGCTGGTATTGAGAATGGTTTTAGTGATACTGATGGCCTTGTGGGGGAATAGCGAGGTCTCGGTCATTTGGGGATGGGAGAAGGGGTGGCAATAAGAAATTTTTTTCTGTTCCGTCAGTAGCTGCAACAGGGAAGCGGAGCTTAAGATGCAAAGAAMACACGTGTTTGTCGGAATTTTGTGATCTTGAAGTTTCCAAAACTTTAAAGTAAAATCTGTTTATCAAGAAGATGGAACTAATACGGCGGCGCATATGGGACAAGAAGCAAATAGGACTAGCTGCTGCAAACTAGACAGGCTTATGCAAATATATTTTAGATTCACTTGAGTTATTCGCAGGAACTTGTTCTACTGATTTGCTGCATGCCCTGTGTCGTGGCCATCGTAAACTACTACTAAATGATGGCAGCCGACCAAGGCAGCGCGAAATAATAGCAATAGACAACCCTTTGAAGACTTACATTGTTCCTGCAAAACCTGTTAAGTAATATCTTACAACGTTGTAGATTCACAGAGTCAATTATCAGTGGCATCGCAGCAAGAACTGGACGAGGTCATCAAGTTCCTTTCCGGAACGCCACTCAAGTCAAGACCACCTCCTAGTGTTGATAATGTCAGTCATGTTACCCCAGCTGATAGTGGACTTGGTAGCTCCTTGAGTATTGCCTGCAGCTCAATCACTCTTGCAAGCATTACTGGAGGACTAGAAGGGGCAGGACGGGAAGCAGCTTCCGTTAAGGCTCCTAGAGTCGAGGTATCGGAACCCGAGGCTTCACAGAATACAGACTCGACCGAGACACCGAAAGAAACAAAGAAGGACTCGAAACCACGCAAAGGAAAAAATAAACAGGATTCAGAAACAAAGAAAGAAAATAACAAGACAAGTAGTGAGTCCACAAAGGGAAAGAAATCCAGTAAAAAGTCTATTAAAAGTCAAGATTCTGGGAAGTCTGGAGTTGATGGGAAGGAAACCAAGAATGACCACAAGAAGAAAACAATGGCGGAGGAACCCAAAGCCAAAGACGGCGGTCGGAAAACAGAAGAAGTAACGAAGGAGAAAGCTGGTGGCCAGAAGAAAGTGGGAGAGACAGATGAGAAAGTTGGTGGGCTGAAGACAGAGTGTGGCACAGACGAGAAAGTTGGTGGCAAGAAGACAGAGGGGGGTACTAAGGAGAACGATGGTGGGCTGAAGGACGAGAAGAAGGATGGTACTAGTCCCGTTGTAGTGACTGTCAGCTCTGTTGATGACGATAAGGAAAAGGGAGATCAAAGTAAAGTAACGATCAGTGAGAGTCTCAGGTGAGTGAACACGGGACTCTAAACAAGAATAAGAATAGGAATAGGAATGAGAATCATGAAGTGTGAAACCATGCTAACGAAATGCTCTCAGGGCTTGTACAAGGAAGTTAATAGACCACTTGCATGTGAAGTCAAAGGTGCGCAATTGGGAGAGAAAAATCAAAAGAATTTCAATCCAAATCGAGCTGCAATTCCGAAGTGCTGCGAGAGGTTTATTTAAGATGTTTAATGAATAGCTCCAAATATGAGAAAAGACCTACACTTAATATGGATTGAGGAGATTAAAAACAAAAAAGAAAACGAGATTCATTCCGTTCATTAATACCATTTTTTTTTTTTTTTTTTTGCAGGAGTGTGTGGGAAAATGCTGATCCCGCTAAAAAACGTGACAGCGGAGGAGTAACAGCTCTTCAACTGAGCCGCCTGAAAGAAAAGTATGGCTCCCAAGAAACTTTGTACCACAGCTGCTGGTCTTTGTCCGAGTTCGACGGCAATGATAAAGACAACCAGGACGAGGATACCAGGAGCCTGAATGAGAATATGTTGCCTAGCAACGCCTCTCCTGTGATGGATCTTGGTCTGATGTGGTCTCCTGGGTTTGCGAACGACGTGTGGAGTAGTAATCCAAACATCAAGGATTCAGACGAGGTAAATGAGGAATATTGCTAGATGTCACTCTGTTTCCCTTGGCCACTACTTGGTGTTATCTGTGGTTACTGCGATTCTCAGTCACACGCGACCAACTGAGACCTAAATCACAAACGAAAAATTGAGTTTTGGTGGACGTCAATCAAAGGGGTTTCTTAAAAATATCTATGGATTCCGACTCCGAAATTCAAACGCTTGACTGCAAAGCTATCGGTATTGAATTATCTGATCTTGAAGACACTCAAATCATTGTCAATACCGATAGCTTTGCAAGTCAAGCGTTTGACATACGGAGCCGGAGTCCTGTGTAATTTTTGAGAACATTTATCCAGAACGAGAAATTCGCAGCGACAAGAAGCTTGAGATAAGAGCAACTGTACGGGGAAGGGGCTGGGAAGTGAGTGACGCCTTTGTGAAAAACGTATTTATTTATTTATTATCATTATTTATTMATTCTACTACAACAAATGAAATATTRAAACAAAAGTATTTTTTGTTTAGGCCGAAAATACTCACTGGTGTAGATCGGACGAGACACTGGACCGAAGCACCCATGGCGGCAAGAATGTGTTTTCCTTGGGACTGGGCATCACAGGACCTGAACTTTTTGCAGCAGCTAGTCAAGCAGGGTTAGTATTCATGAATTAAATATGTACAATGGCTTAAAGTTATCCAAGATGACGGTTATAACGTCACGTTTAGAAAATTCCTTATTTAAATTCTTAAAATACCGCTGTTTTGTGCTTATTGGTTACAAATTCGTTACTAAGGGTAATCGTCATTTTAGTGTTGAAATTTTTACAATTGAATACTAACAGTAAAATAAAGAATGCACAAATTCAGTGAGGATATTTTGAAATTCCATGGACGTTCATCAGTGGGAACACGTGAATTCTACACAACTTTGACTAACCTTATTCTTCTTTGAAATTCAGGTCATCCCCGCCATGGTGGTCGTATTTACGAAAATATTTCTTATTTGAATTCTTTCTTTTATTTACCACCATCATGACTACCACGCGCGTCTTTGTGTTATATCTTTTCTTTTATTAATAATGAGAATATGTCTAATGAATTTCGTTTTAGTCGAGATGATTATGTAAAGGAGAAATGTCTTACCATTCCTGAGATGAGTAAACCTCGARGTGCCGAGGACTTGAGCTGCAAGGTAAGGACTAAATATGACGATTTTTTTTCGTACATGGGGGTTTCTTTTCTTTCCCTTGCTTTCCGTCCATCCACTCCCTCGGCCGTCGGTGCACCCTTCTGTCCATTTATCCTCCTCTTTTTCCACCTACGGATAGCATCCACCTATTCCTCCGTTCGTTACATTCGTTCTTTTATTAATCCTTACATCTTTTAACCCGTCCATCTATCCATTCCCTTGCTTTAGCCTTGGTCTGTCCAAGGAGTTTCCCAATACCTAACAATCTTGCAAGGCTGACCAAGGCTGCTCATTCAGAATGAAGGTTGATAGCCGAATTCAGGTCAAAACAAAAGCTCAATTTCAACACGTGTCTTCTACAAACGATTGTCATATGCTTTTATATCTTTTTTTTTTTTCTTTTTTTTTTTTTTTTTTTTTTTTTTGTGAACTAATGACCGAGTGACCTCGTTTTTGTGCATTTGTCAGCAATTATGAGAGTGATGTATAGACCCCTACTAGCTTGCAGCACTTTGGAATACAGCTCAATGTGAAGAACATAACAATAGGTTTCCAATTCCCATGAGATTGAAATTCTTTTGTTTTGTCCTCCAAATTGAGCTGCTTTGATGTCACATGCAAGGGGTCTATTAGTTTAGTGAGTGTCTTATCAACTTCATTTAATTTCGTCTGTCCTATTTTGTTGTTTATGCAAATCTTTCTGGCAGGATCCTTGGCCAAGTCGCAGTACCTCCCCCACCCCTCACCCCCACTGGACCAAGACTGCCTCCTTGAACGACGATTCCCACCGACAGTCTGTTCATCGTCAAACCCTACCTCCCCAACATTACAGCGACCCATTTTTACCTAACGATCATTGGTGGAGCCAAGTAGGCCCAGGCCTTCCTCATCCCTCAAACCCTCGTTACCAGCAATACCTCCAACGCCAGTACGCGGTTGACGTGAACTACCAGGGTGTACAAAGCAATCCCCACGGAGGGTACTCTTCGATGGGCATGTCCGCCTTCCATCCAGTTCAGCAACGCTTTTCCAAACCATCTCGACCAGCGCATTTACAAGTCCCGCCACACTACCCGAATGGTAACGGGTCTGGTAACAACCACCACGCTTCAAATCCCCGGTTTTAATCTGTCAAGACACTGGATACCGTAAGGATATGCTTTTACAAGTAATTGCGATTTACGACTGGCAATATTACAAAGTTTTAAACTCCAAAGAAGTGTTCGGTTTAAAATCTTGTAATTTCCTGTAGACTTAGTTTTTGACTTAATTTTTGCGACATCTATGTTTTGTACCGTGTAGTGAGTTCGATCGACGAATTCAGACACTTGCTTGGAAACCCCTTTTCGTTCTTCTATTTTTTTTCGTCCAAAAAGCCGTTTTATTATTCTATTTTTTCATCTTTGCTTTTATTAATTAATGATACAAAAATTACAAATTCAGGATCAGTGTCCTAGATTGGTGGCTAGTCCTTCTGTACTCTTATTCAAGTTCTTGTTGAAGCGTGATTTTCACCACGGACGCAAAATATGCATTGTGATGTAGCAAGCGCAAATAGTGCTTTAGTGTGGGCTTGCTATGTCGTGCTAGCTAGAGTGCATACCATATATCCGTGAAAACCTTTGTAAGAAATTGCACAAATTTGCACAAATTAGTAATTTCAGTGAACCGTAGACCTACAAAACTTTGCACATGTTTGTACGGATTTGTACAATTTTGTTAGTTTTTTTTTTCACGGATATATGGTATGCTCTTTAACAATGAAAAACTGTCTGTTTGCGTTCGTCGCTATGCTTGTACTTTTGCTAGTGTAAACCAGAATTGCGTTGCCTTCCATTGGCAGCTTTGATATAACCGTTAACTAATCTTAAAGTAGCTGAGGCTGTTTAGTGTCTGTCTTGATCTCATTTATATTCTTCAAAAGCTCTTGTTCACATAGCAATCGGCATCTTTCGCAGACTCGTCGATGCTCTTCTCTGGACGAGTACGAGGAAAGACGCCGGTTGCTGTACTTGTACTTTTGGAAATTTATGAGATCAAGCTCACACCGCCTAGTAGTCATGACAAAAAAGTATATACAGTATAACCTTTCGCGAACACTTTGAAGTAGGTTACTCAGTCGATACTGTAGTTTTATTTATTTTACCATTATTCGAATTTCAACAAAATTAGTTATCCGACTCCCTGGATGTAATTTTAAATGCTCCCGGTAGTTTGTTTTCTCGTTTTTATGCTTTTTTGACCAAAAATAAAAAAAATGAAGTATATTTTGATTTATCAAATAACCTTTCAAGAATAAAAAATATTTTTAAAATTCCTTTAACATTCAAATTTTTTCTTATAGCCAAAAATTGCACATCTTATTTTTAAAAGTAGTAAACCGCTGAGCTTTTGGAAACGCTGGTCGTTGCCAAGCGAGGAATATAATTATAAGCTATGGACACGCAATCTCGCTAACAATTCTAGATTGCGTGTCTTAGTCCGAAAGGATCTGCCGGCATTTCCGTTTTACTGGTATTAGTTTAAAACGTTGAAGACTATGGCTTTTGCGTTTTTGTTTTTTTTTTGTTTTTTGTTTGTTTGTTTTTTTTTTT